TGTCCTGTTACGGCCATGGAGGCCGTTCATGAACTCACTGTCTGTCCTGCCACGGCCAAGGAGGCTGTTCATGAACTCACAGTTAAGTGGTCCATCCATATCTCTGCTCTCGTCAAGTCTGTTGTAGTCAAGTCTGTTCATGCCTCGTCAAGTCTGTTCTAGTCAAGTCTGTTCATGCCTCGTCAAGTCTGTTCTAGTCAAGTCTGTTCATGTCTCGGATTATGTTTGGATGTTTGGATTTCACCTGTAAATAAACTGCACTTGGGTTCTTCACTACACTTGCCTTCAGTGGACTGAATCGTTACATGTAATTATAATTTAAATGTGATTTATTGCAAATGTAATTTATTCAGCAGCCATTACTCCAGTCTTCAGTGTCACATGATCTTTCAGAAATTTGCTGTTCAATAAACATTTCTTATTATCATCAATTTTGAAAAATTTCTTGCTGCTGAAATCTTGTTGCCGTCATACCTGGTTTGGACATGATTTCTTCAGCATTTCTGTGCCATTATAGCAGAGCTTTGGTTGACTCTGGCCTTTCCTAAAAGCCTGGCTTAAACAATAACAACAATGGAGTCTCTGTATCAGCATGTGGTCCCCGGCACTGCATTAAAGTAACAGGTGCACTATGCTGCACAACACTGATAGCGCTTCAGATTCGCGGGCTCAAGGCCAGTGGGTCTGGAAACTGCTCGGTTTGAGTTTCCCAGACAGCTCTCTTTATTGCCTGCATCAGCAAAGCTGCTCAGGTCACCTCGATGGAAAAAAAAAAAACTTGATTCTGAGTGAGGCAAACTGTGTGCCTATCTCCAAGGACAGGTCTTCGTGTCTCACTCATCAAACATCATGAATCAACGTGGCATTTAGTGACATGTAGGGAGATCAGTAGGTGATTAGCAAAAATTAGTCCTAAAGTGAAGCCCGTTTCCTATGACACATGAAAGTGTAAAGCTCTCCTTTGGGGTGTGAAGGAGCATCAAGCTCTTTGAGAGTGTGTCGTTAACAAGTCTGCATGTCCGCATATGTCGCTGTGACAACACTGCAAGCTAAGTGCGAGTTAGTGTGTGTGTGAACTCGCTTGAAGTTGATGACGGCTGACGCACTGTGCGGATGGTTCAGACATTATCACTCGCAGCTCTCGACACGCTCGTTTGCTCCAACACGCTGCCATAGCAATAATCATTACGTGGCCAGTCCAGCATAAAAAAAACATCACATGTATGAAAAAAAACATAATGTCCCCAAAAGTACAATACACTCCATGCCCTTCCTCTAACTAACCCGTTTGTCCAGTGGCTCGAACCTCTTGGCATTCACTCGACAGGACGCAAGACCTCAGTCACCACTTCTACTCAAAACATTGCCTCCCTTTCATTAAAGCACACAGCAGGAAACTAGCAATTAAAAGATCCAGGCCTTCAAAACTCACCTTGAACTATCAATTTCAATAGCTGTGTTTGGAAATGAACACTACCATTTTTTGAATGCTGTACAGAATGTATTTTATACTGCATACATGTATGTTTTAAAAAAGAGTATGTGAAACAATAGACATTATTGATGAGTGTTTCAGAGACTGTGTACATGCACAAGAATATCCTGATATTAATCAGAATTTGCTCATTTTTGTACTGTAAATAGGTTTGCAAACATTCCAGAAATTCTGAAACTTTACTGGATTTTTGGAAGCTTTCAGAAAATGTTGGGAATTTTTGGGAACTTTTGGAAAGTTTCCGGAAATGTTCTGCCCCTTTGCGTCCCTAACTGTAAACACAATAATATTCCTGTTTCTCCCAAATTTAAGACATCTGGCATTTGCCTGTATCTATCAGAATGTGGCATGTAAGCACCTTATTTTGAATGATGAATTATTTGTATGATTTATTTATGTATTTCTTTGAATATTTTTGTATTTATATGAATAATTTATTATTATTATTACTTTGAATATCAATAGTAACAGAACGGTCATTTTTATGTCCAAACAATGTCCAAACAAAGATAAATTTGGGTGATTTTAGAAACAGACAGTTGAAAAGTCAAGCTATTGAAGAAATACATTTTTGGAGTGAAGAGCTTTTTTATTATTTATTTATTTGTATGAATTAAAATTAATAAAATGAATGTTCTGTTACTGTGGGTATTCAAAATAATAATACACCAATTATATAATAATAATAATAATAATAATAAAGTATTATTATTTTGAATACTCACAGTAACAGAAGATTAATTTTATTTGTGCATGTCCAAACAAAGATACTTGTCGGAGATTTTAGATACAGGTAGTTAAAAAGTCAAGTTATTGAAGAAACACATTTTTGGAATGAGGAGGACATTCAAACATTAATGTTAAAAGAAAGGTCATCCTGCTCTTGTATTAATGTTAAAAACATGAATGAGAATTAATGAGTTAGCTAAAGTACTGGTCAGAATTACAGCAAAAGAAACTGCAAAAAGTACATCTTAATTAGGAAGAGAGCATGCATGTTTAAATATATTTCGATTGTGCTGATTACAAGAAGACTCAATTAAATTTTAATCTGAAAATTATATGCATGTAAACAACATTATCACCACATGACCTCATCATCACATTGCATCTGCTAGCATCTCGGAAATAAAAGTTATTTTGCATTTTTTTTATTCAATTTTGTGTAAAAAAAAATAATTAATTCTTACAATTTGGCCATCCAATCAAATAATGAGTCAAGAAAGAGATATATTACTTCTGTATTGTACATCACACTGTAACTGGAAGGTCAAGCGCACTGCATTGTGGGATGTCATATTCAACAGAGCAAACTCTGGTTTATAAGGCAAATGCAGCAGGTCATGCAGGTATTTTATGCGAACAGAAAAATACTG